TGGTTGAGTCCCCATCCCTGGATGTGTTTAAGAATAGGGTGGATGATCTACTTGAGGATATGGTTTAATGGGGATTAGGGATGGTTGGACTCGATGATCTCTAAGGTCTTTTCCAACCTAGAAATCTATGAATCTATGAATGCTGTACTTCCACACATGATCCAGCAGAGTTCAGGTGGAAATATGTAGGACTCCCTTACTGCAGTCTAAACAGCAACGGCTTTAAAAGTGCTCTGCAAGGCTCAACTGATGTAAAATCTACTTCTTAACAAGGTTTCCACCCACAGCCTTTAACCCTAAGCCACCTGAAATGCGTAATGAGGCTCTATGCCTCATAAAATTGTCAGTTAACTTTTTTCTTTCCTATTCTGTCCACAGATTAACTTGATTAGAAAAATTAACCTACAATTCATTCTTGAAACTGGAAGTTGGTTGGTTGTTTTGATTTTACTTTGTTTCTCCAAACTTGCATCAAGCCTTCTTTTATGCTGCCCCTCCAACCCCCACCCCCCACCACCTCAGTTCATGAACAAAGTTTGCTTAGTTGCAGCTTACGTTTGATATGGACTTGACACCACAGTACCGTATGTTCATATGAACATCTGATAACCTGTGAAACAGAAATCACAGCTCCCAGTTTGTAAAGCATTAGCTACCTTCTCTCATATTTGCAGAGACTAAACATATCACTTGCTTAAAAAGGAAAAGTTAAAATCCTCTTTAATATCATCTGTCCCTCCAGATATATCTGAAGCAAAGTATCAGAGGGTCTACCTGTGCTGGCCCTCTTGTATACAAGCTGAAAAGCCTTTCAGGTCCCCTCTGACCCCCAGAAGAAACATGCACTTCAAGCTGTGAGCTAGGCCAGGCCAGTGTATTTGAGGTTCTGCTACAGAATAAACATTTGCATCTTGCTCTTTTGAGAGTAAGAGCTTCTAGAGATGTTTCCAATATAGATCCTTTATAGGGATAACAAGCTTCTACATTTGGGCAAACTAATAGCACCAGGATGCAAAGTTGAACACTTGTGAGAGCCGTCTGAGAGATGTGGAACACAAAGAAGAAATAAACAATCAACTAAATACAGTATTGTTTCAGACAGGGAGGGATTCTCTAAAGATCTGTGCTCACGCAAGTTCTCGAGCGCAGGCGTCCCCGGTCAGCAGCCGGACGGCTCACACGGCTGCTGGCAGGTGCTGCAGCACTGGTGTGAAAGAGTGAAGGCTGTTACGGCACAAGACAGCTTACAAATTTTAATGACTCGTACTACGTTTTCAACAAATCACCTTCTGCAATGCAAATGTATTATTTAGGGATAAGTACTCTGTGTCCGGAAAGTATATGAACTGCTAAGTAACACACATGGCTCTGACAGCAGAAAACTGGTCCAAAGGTATAATCTGACATTTATTTTTTCCAACAAACTCTAGCTTGGTTAATTCCTATGGAAATTTGCAATGTCAGTGTTTCTAATGTTATTGCTTTAAATATGCATGCATTGTTGTACTCCATAAATCAAAAATTTTAACAGAAATGTTAAAACGCCCCTCGCAGAAAATTTGGCTGTATTTATTTAAAAAGCTAATTGCAGTAAAGTGAGGGGGGAAAAAAACACCCTCAGTTCTGCAATTTATAGAGATTTTAATGTATTGTTTATATGCTTTATTTAGGTTAAAAGACAAATGTCTCCTATAACTCTGCATCTAGTAGGATTCAGTAGGAAAAATGTAAATGTACTTGGACATATTCTGTAGCATTAACTAATGCAAGTATTACAGAGAGTCTGTAAAAAAGCATTATTCCCAGATTAGGCCTTTACACAGAAGAAATCTTTCAATCCATCAAATGCAAAGAATCCCAATTCCTTCTTGTGTTAACACCACATGAAAATCCATATCTGTCACTGCATATTCTAAAACCCACACCTCATTTGAATTTCTGCCTTTGAACATTGATTTGATGAAACAACATAACAAATCAAAAAGGCATAAATACTAAATTATTTTACTGTTTATAAATATGGAAAAAGCTAATCTCAGCCATATGAGGCACAATGCAAAAGATATAGGACTGTATTAAAACTACGTGTTTTAGAGCTGCCCTGTATAAATTTATAAGTACTGGAGGCTGACCTAGGAGTAGTCATTGTACAAATAACTGGATTTAATTTATTTAACTGAGAAGAAACTGTTAAAAAAAAAAAAAGATACAGCAGCTCAAGGTAAGTCTATCATCAGGAACGAAAAAGGCTTATGATGGTCATACGCCCACGCTCAAGGACTGGTGTTTTGGTCTGTGTTGTATTTAATCTTTTCTTACCAAAGCAAATGAGGAGCACTGACTCCCGCAGCTGATGCAGGCAGCTGTGCAGCTCTTGCCAGTGTCCAGGGAAGCGCAGGGAGCATTGCTTCCCTCAGAACATGCATTTAGAGAAAAAAAAACACGTGGCAGGCGCTGGTTCTTTCTGAATGCACTAGTAGTGGCAGGCAGTGCAAGAGGAAGTAATAATTGCCTGGTCCAGAAGAAAGGGCAAAGTCTGTTTTCAGCAGGGCTGAAAGAGGTGGAAATGTTTTGCTTGTATTTGCATGTGTAATTAAGGCCACTGCACACTATGAAAATACAACAGTCTAAGTCAGAAGTAAACAAACATTTTCAGGTGACCTTTGAAAGTGAATTAACAGATAAATATGACCTGATCACTGTATTCTACTTTGATTGCCTTAATCAATTAGGGAATATTTTTTTCCTCTCATCTCAGACACGGAATATGAATATAGGCCATAAAAATATTCTTTGTATTATTATAAAAACCTGATTGAGGAATTATGGCTTATTGTTGTATCATGGCTTAATCTTGATTCATGCTATTGAAAAACACTGCAACTTGAATACCATGAGAAATTACTTGTTCTTGTGCTTAACACTTCCAGGATTTGTAAGGTTATAAACACCGATTTTAAATTTGGACCCTTTTTACCAAATATGGACCATGCATGCAGGTAGACTTGACACTACAAAAAAAGGCAAGAATTAATACCTTTGTACAGGACTCTCTTTGCTTTAATGGTCACAAGCAGAATGATTAGTATGTTACTCTGAAAAGTTATAAAACACCTTGAACAACACACTGAGTGAGAAATGTTTTCATCTTTCAGGAAACAGCTCAAGATTTCAAAATGTTCTCTCTAAACCTGACTTTTGAAAAAAAATTGTGAATTGATATTAAGAAAAAAACCAACTCAGTAACCACAAGCAAAAGGTAGCTCCGGTACTTCTAAGTCAACTGTCAACACATTTGTTACTGAAAACTACTCAGCTACTGCCAACACTTACCATTTACAGATAAAGTCTTTAACTGTAAAAAAGTTTATCAGTTTGAAAGTACTACTGCGTTCAAAATAAACACTCCTCAAGACGTGTCTTCAGGGTTTTTAACAACTGTAGCCAACTTCTGAGAACAACGCTATTACTAATTGGAGGTGAAAAAAAGACCTTGCTCCCTAAGTGTTGGGGTGAACTACTGAAAGTTAAATTCCACCTTCTATAGTTCTTCAACTTTGCACCCTGATGACATCTGCCAGTTTCAAATCCTCCTGTTCCTCCTCTTGTTCAGTACACATGTAATTCTTTAGAGCAGTTTGTTATGGGTGAGGGGGGGAGTTAGTTAACTTAGAAATCTTGTAGCAGGAACTCAAAATTTAGTGATGTGAGCAAGAAATAGAAATGCCATAGCCACTGAAGACAAGACATGCGGCATTGCTTACTTAAAGCCCCATCCTGTCCCCCCAAGGACAATAGCTGCTACCAGGATGGCACCAGCGATGGAGCCTATTATAAGATTGGTGGCACTAGGACCTGTGATAAAGGATTATGGTAAGACAGACATAAGAACCAACCACTTTATTCACATTAAGTGAAGCAACTGAAGGGTAGTCAAACAATTCAAGGAATACAGACAGCACACAAGGTGATGTCTGCAGACAATTTCAGCAAGCCCAACTTAATTTTCTTTAACAGCAAGAATGAACAAAGCTGTTGGTCTCTGCATTGTGCTATGTTGACTTCTACCATAGATAAAAAATCTAGTATTAGACAGTAAATTCCATTGTGACTTACTCCATTATCTAGTGAATGAACTGTCAGCTGAGGACACTAAGATATTTGTGAATAATTCCTTAACTTAAAGGAAAAAGTACGAATGCGGTATATTTTATGACTAGAGCAATTGAGAAGGAAAAAAAAAATAATAATCAAAAAGCCTAACTTTTTTAGCAGCACTTACTAATTAGAGTCCAGGGTCCCTATGGTTACATCAATGCTAAATTTACAAACAAATGTTTGACAAAAGCAAAGGATTATATAATAAGGAACAAAAGTTGAAATAAAGCTGTATTCCCATTAAGCTTTCCAAACATCAAAGCATCTCTTCATCATCCTCAAGAAGCTACTTAACAACAACGTAGGGAAGGGTGGAGCAGGAAAACAGAGCAACAAAAAGCAGCAGCTCAAAATACGTTTGTGCGATTTCCTGAAGAGGGCGAGACAACACCTAAGAGACATTCATGATTGACCCTTAAGTGCTCTATTTACACGGGGTGGAGGAAAACCGACAATAGGCTTGAGTAACATTTTAATTGCTCAGTACAAAAATTTCCTATTGAGCAGTCTTTGATGTAAAGCTAATTGCATCTGAGCTCAAGGCAGAATGAAACCAACCCAACAGTTCTTTTGCAGCATATTGAAACTTTTTGTTTGAACAGTTACAAACCTAGGAATAGCCTTCAAAAAGAAGTTCTTACCTCCTATCCTCGTCTCCCCAAACCAACAGTTCAATACAGCAATTGAAATTTTCCTATTTAAAATGTTCTGAAACTGAGTTTGGAAAACTGCCAGACAGCTAACATAGGGAAGAAAAAAGGAGCAGCCAGAGATCAGCAAAGGAAAGAGCAAGAGCAGCTGCAACAACTGAAAGTTTTAAGCTGTTAGGTCGGTATCACAAAACCTTCTGCCCAGTCCCACGCACTACAATAAGTATGTACACTAAGTTTTAAAATTTACTGCAGTGACCTAACTTCACTGCATCCATTACATGTTTCCCATATCAATGCTTCTGGAGATCAGATTAGCTAAAAGAAAACCAAGGTTTAAAGATTGCTTCCTGCAATTCCTACACAAAGAGTATTCAGGAATATTAATAAAAGACTTAGACTGAGAAGAAATATAGTGAGCTTTACAGCTATGAGCAGTGCACACATCTGACAACATAATTAAAAGGCAATTCTTCACAATTTGGAAGAACATATCTTATTTGGACTTACCTTTAAAGTCACACCTGGCTCAAATCAACAGGAGTGAGTACAGCAGAGGGTAAATGAATGCCATTCCACAGGCATTATATTCCCAATTAAGGCTTGCTTTCAACAGCAGCCTAATGAGCTAGTGTATCTCACTCAGATCTCTGGCTTACTCTGGATTTTATCAAATGATTGGCACACAACAAAAGACTGAAAACACAGCAAGTAATTTATCTGTAATAAATTTTAGAAGCCTTGAAGAATTCTAAACCTCATTTCTTTCTAGCTATAGAATGCTGTCTTCCCACAAAAGAACTACAATGATTAACTGATAGTACCATAGCCATAATTTAAGATGAGGCAGTACCTAAATCGCCACTTTTTTATATCTCTCTTCTTACTATGTTTCCTGGTTGTTAAATGTTTGGAGAAAAAAAAACAAAACAAAACAAAACACAATTATTTCATAGTGCATATCCATTCAACGAACAGCAGTTTGTTCTTTTAATACAGAAAATCAGTATTGGTTTTATTTCCTATAAATATGGAAGAATTCAATGAAAATTTAAACAGAATAATATACAAAACAATTAGGTTCAGTTAATAGAAGTTACTAATATTATGTTAAATAATAATTGGGTCCTGATAAAAACACTTTTCGGATCTGACCCAATATTTATGAAGCATCAGTGACTACAGCAGTGATGTTCATTTTTAACACAAAAAAACCCTGAAAATCAAATGCCTGTGAGAATTAGGGTACCTGCTAGAGAGAGCCCAAGAGCGGAGTACATGATAGATGGCTGTGGATAAAGACATGTCCACTCCTTTGGAATTTTTGACCTGTTTCACAGTATGCTGGGAGTGGCAGTTCCCATGAATGCAGATAATAGCCATTTTTCGTAGTAAAGAAACTGAAAAGGCCATGTTTAAGGTAAAATTTCACTGACGGTCAACACCACTATAACCTCGTTTCTAACTTCAATATAAAAACAAAGCTGGTGGAATACTTATGATTACTGAACAGCAACCACTTGTTTGCCAGAATGGAGTCCTCCAATTAATGAATTCCAGTTTGGAAATACAGAGATTTAAGAGGATTATTGGTAAGCCGTTTCAAGACCATAACAGACTGCGCACAGAAGTACTTGCAATGGGACTGCTTTTACATGTTATACCTTACTTTAAAGATATATGTCTTATGTTTAATTAAACATTATCAAGGAAATTGTATTATTAATAAACTAGAATTTTGCTAGCAGTATGAAGCCCACTCTGCATCAAGTCACTTTAGTTAGTGACAATTATGAAGAAAAATATAAATCAGTATGTTTCAGCTAAATAAGCTTCTCTAGTCCCTGGACTCAGATGCTCCACATAAATACAAGCAAACCAGAAGTAAGAGGAAGGTTCTAATAACCATCATATGATGGGGTCATTTTCCATCCAGACTGTCAGAAGATGCAATACTTATTTCTTCCATCACACTACTGCTATAACCTGCAGATTTAGCAGGAGGAAGCTCCAGCAACTAACTGCACCATAACCGCCCGGCACACCACCCTGTCCTGCGAGGTGCTATGAGGTGCTATCTGCTTTGGCACAGCTATCGTGTCATCTTTTAAGACTGATACAAACGCTACTGAAGGTATTAAAACAGAACGACACCTTTAACTTCAGTGGACTTCAGACTATTCCCTAAATCTTTATCATCAGATTCTAGAAGCATTAATATACATTGCTTTGAAACTCTGCTAGAAGAGGCAAGTTTACTGCAGATTGTCCTGCAGATAACACCACATTGTGGTGGCTTGAAGTTTTCTTTTCTTGCCTGTCACTTTGCCAGCCAAATCCTCTGTTTTAAGTTATCAAAGCTAAGTATCCATTTTAGGATGAAATCTGGAAAAAAGACTCACCCATTTTGTCCCCCATGACTCCTAAAATAAATTCATAAAGTGTTAAGGAACTAAAGTTATTTTAGCACTTTGAAGAAAAGTTTGCAATTTGCAAGTTGAAGCAGCCAGGAAGGAGGAAAGGGGCAGGACCTGGCGTAGGGCTGTGATGAACACAACTTCCTTCCCCTGCAGCCACTGACAGTAACAGCCTGCAGGGCATTAGGTTCCCCATGTGCTTTCTTTAAATCAAGCAACAAAAAGTAGCAGCAACTTGCCTTGAATGTATGTTTGTATCTGAAGGAACCAGAGGACAGAGGAAAGACTGATATGATCCAGGAAAGAAGAAGGGATAGAAACAAAAAAAATGAGTCAGGTAGTGAGTGATAAGAGGAGAGGAAAGACGGAAAAAACCTGGAATTAGAGCACATGGATACAGGGGCAAGAACAAATGGTCAGGGACATTGGTCAGAGCTGAGTGGATTGAGACAGTAGGTAAGGGGAGATAAAACCAGACGGGTACAAGGTAGAACATAAGCAAAAGGCAAATGGTCCTCAACCTGTAGGCAAATAAATATTCTTCTCCAGAATCTGAGTCCCAAACCTCTAGAGAGTTTTCAGCTTTTAGCAAACAGCTGTAAAAGCCACCAGCAGAACACAGAGCTGATCTTTCTCAAATAGATGATCTATTAACTTCTTCCTTCTCTTTGTTTTTCTATTAGTTGTCCTCTCTGAGTGCAAAGTTCTCTACTCTTCTGAGAATCCAAGATGAGTCTCATGTAACAGTCTAGTTCAGCAAAGGCTAAAAAGGTTGTATCTAGGGTTGCAAACTCAGACACCCAAAATGCTGCCTACCAGAAGACTGCCTATGCAGCTTTGATTAGAACTGTATACGAATGCTTTTTCACACAGCCTGATTAGGAATCACAAACTGTCTTGTTATGATTCCCCCTGCAGAGAGATGGCACTGTCACACAACACAGGTAATGCATAGGATTAGAAACACAGTTGGAAATCTCAGAAAAGCGGAATAACAGTAATTTATTCTGTAGTTTGCACAGTGAATGCAGAATGAAGAGACTTCTTATATGGTCATTTTTATATGTTCACATATACATAGACACACACACACGTATATAAATCAAATAGCCACTGTTACAAATGAGGTAGTAGGCTAACACTTAAGATTACAGTTTCCTAAAGCTATGAAAAGACAATAAAAACTGCTCATACATATTCTTTATATATGAATTCTATACTTCGGCATTCTACTGCCTTGAGGTAACAGAATCCTAAGCAATGGAACATTGTGAAGCTTTACTGTAAAACTAGCTATCTATACTACTGTCATCAGCTTTCATCTTAGCTAGATTGTGTGACCTATAATTAGACTGAAAGCCCCACAAATTGTAATAAACAATTTCTGCATTTTATGATATAGTCCATGATAGTCTATTTTGCAAAAATAATCACCAACTTCCATTTTTCCCCATTATTTTTATCATTTGGTGTAATGGAAACATTTAGACATTTAATTTTACTGTGACGATGTAAAAATTCACAAACTTATTGTTTTATGCCCCACATTACCCCAGACAGGAGAGGGTTCAACACTGCATGAGCAAACCACATGACACAGACACAGTCAAATCACGTGACAAATACGGTCACCACATGACAAAGCTAATGGGTAATACACAGAGGGCTCGGGTGCATACGGTTACCTCACACACTAGGCACCAGACATAAAACTCAAACTAAGAAAAATGCTTACTCTATTCCCCACCCTGTGCCTCCAAAAATCACCCCCAAGGCCAGAATGGTCCCTGCCACTGCACCTATTAGCCTGTTAGTGGCCATGCTCACTGTGTGGAGGGAAAAGTGAAGATTTTTAAGGAAATGATCACATATATGTCTGAAACGAAAACATCAAATAATTCCCCAAAGGAATATTTTACGCTGTAATCCATCATTGGATAAACAATTCAAACCTCCTAACAAACCTTTATTTACCAAATAGTGTAGCTTTAAAAATTCTCAAATGAGCTATATTTGGTTTTCTTTGAATGCTTGCAAATATTTCAATGAGAAGCCTTCCTGTAAATGTAAGACCATTCCTTTTAGCTTGTGATTCTGTTACTTACTTAAAAAAGGAACATCTACAACCTAAGGCTTATTTGAAACAGCCAAAATGCAAATAAATCATCAACAAGATAACTTCCTTTTGATCACCAGAAACTTACTGTATCCATAATATAATTAAGCAAATGAAAACTGTTTGTTTGGAAACAGTTCCATCACAGGAAAAGAAAAAAAAACAACAAACCAAAACCGAACTTTTTAATTAATTTCTTTACTAGTTAGCAATATTTTCCTTTGCTACTGCATTTATCAATAGGAGACTATTTATCTATATGACCTAAAGACAGGTAACTCCTTTTAAAAGGAAAAACCTATCCTAGAAACATGCTTCAGGTAACACCCTGGAAACTTCAGTATGTTCTCTTAAGACATTGAGGGCTTATTTTTAATTTTTTAAGGGAACTCTTTTGAGAAAAAACACCTATGCATTTCCTATGTTAAAGATTAAAAGCTTGATAGATTCACTGTGTCATCATTGATCAAAAGAAAGCAGTTGAATTCCCTGTCTAATGGGAACTTTTCCAAGGGACAAAAACTTTATAGTCTTCATGCTGAATAAAGTCTGTTTTGAAATGGTTTCATAATTTTTTCCTGTTTCATAAATATACACAAACACACACACACAATTGAGACATAAGTTTTATATTAAAAAAACAAACACACACTATTCCACTAGTCAAACAATGGCCTAATTCGGCAAATGAAATTGCAAAGGAAGAATCTTGTGTGCATGTGGAGTTCTAATGATTTCAAAACTACTAGCCAACACACTCTGAAGTAATTAAAAGTTTCTGCAGTAGCCAAAAGCTAACAGGCAGAACTCTTTGTCTTCCCAAAACTGCTAGCAATGCTGTGCAGGATACAGTAGGTTACTGAGTTTAGAGTAATTAAAGACTCATGTATTAATACCAACATAATTAAGGACCACTGATTTTTTAAATCCTGAAATACAGTATGGAGCCAAAAGCTATTGATGGATGATGGAAAGGTCTGAAAAGAAAAGAGCAGCAGGAGTAGCAGTCAATTGTCAGTTATCATAACAATATACAAATAAATAGCAACACTTCCTAGCTATATATGACCTAACTGTAGTAAGAAAAATGCTTGGATTTATGGTGTGAAAAATCTTAAATCTTTTAGGTGAATTTTGACATCATGAGTGTTCTGTTTCTGAAACGTAACAAAACTCAAATTTAGAGCCAAGGAAAAACAGTATTTTGGTTTCTGTCTCAAGGCTTGTAAACTGGCATATGACATAGGAACTACTGGTAATAAAGGGAAAAAAACTTAATGGAAACTAGTACATTGGATCTTTACGATACAGAAAACTACTTCTGTATTCTTCTGACATCTTCTCACAAAGGAATTCCTCTATTAGCACACCAAAAGAGGTTATAGTAGCTGTCAGTGTTCAGGCTCCTAAATTAATTTCTAGATGATTCAATATCAATAAATTACTATAACATCATAAGTAAACATAACCCATCTTTTGAAATCATTGAGCTACCTTGTACAAAAATATATTCTGCCTTTTTGCAGAGGACTCCACTGAAAAATGCAGACTAAACTTTACGTCTGTACCTACTGACAGATATCCGTGCACATAATATCCATTTAAGACTTTTTCTCAGAATATTTCAGCTTCGACGTATTAATTTTCATAGAAGTATTTTCATTCTGAATTAGATGAGTTAATCTGAATGACAAAACTCTAACCAAGGTAAGTGTACCTTCTGCGTTGCCTTTCCTATAGACCTTTTACAGAGAAGGGAATTATTTCTTAGCTACAGAATTTGGAAATGAGCAAGATAAAATTCCTGTACTCTCAGTGTCACAACTGTAAATACTGCTCCCCTTATCCAAAGAGAACTAACCAGCTCTATAGTGCTGTTCGACACTATTTTTTCTTAAGACTCTGTAAGCAGCGTTCCACAGGTAGGAAGGTTTTTATGGGAAATGGAATGACAAGTAGCTTTGTTCGACAGGGTACAAACCAGGCAGCTCTACAATGAACAGCAGTGGAGTTAGGAGTCCAGGAAGCACCTGCACAGATTCTCTAGTACAAATCTAGACTGTTCTAGAGAGTCCCCTTCACAGTGGTAACTTGTTTTAAGATGATCTCTTTAACAGTTCTTGGTAAAGGTCTACTGGAACCATTCTGCTACGGGGCAAAAGAATAAGGCATACAAGACAGAAGCAGAGCCATTCTGGAAGGACATACCAAAATCCTGTCCTCCCTTGAAACCTTGGCTATTTTAAAGAGTGATGAATTGGAGTCTGAGCTCTAAGGACTACATTTTTAAACATCTCTATCTTCTTTCCATCAGCCTTGTATAAAGGACAGAACCACCTGGAACTGGGACATAGCAGAAGAATTTTGTTTGGGTTTCTCAGTTGTCTGTTGGGAAATTTATCTGTAAATGCACAACACTGGATAAATACAGTCTGATGTTGGACAATGTCCTGATGACAGGAAAGACAAAAAAAATGGACAGCACAATCCAAACACATTCTTTGGCAGAGAAGTCAGAGAGAATCTCAAGCGCTTTTCTTCCTCTTTGAAAAAACCTTTTTTATGAATTATTTCCTCAATAGCTCCTCGTTGTATTTATACTTCATATGCAGTCGAAATACCTACTAAATACATAAGCATAAGCAATAATGATGGTAAGAATAATTTAAGTCCTTAAAATCTTATATCTTTTTCCTCCCATTGAAATCTGATTTCAAGGAACTAAAGCTTCTTTTCACTAGGGACATTCCACTTTTCCCTTTTTATGCCACAGCTCTCTGAATTAGCTGAGAATGACAAAGGGAACTGGAAATCTCTAGTAAAACATAATTACTCAATTATCATATAAATAATAAGAGCTACACTTGGTCAGATCCCAATCACAAAGAAAACGATCATAAAATACAGAGAATAGAGGACAAAGGAAAAAACAGAAAGTACATACCATTAGCTATTGAAATCTTCCTCAAATTTAGGTGAGAAAAATAAAAGTTTCATCAATTCTCAAAGCAGAAGGACCTATTTCATCTACACAAAGCAGAATTTTACTGTCTGGGTCTAAACAGGACTGCACAGTAGTATTCTCTTTCTATATGCCAATTCTATTACCATGTATCAACAGAAAAATGTCATAAATACTTGAAAGAACACCAAAACTGAAATCACACAAACCCTTGGGTCCTTCATCCTTCTTGCTACTGGTATTCCTGATAGGATCATCAATACTGCAGTCCGTCCCGGCCCAGGAGAAATTACAAATGCAAGTGGCTTCGTTACTACAAACCTGGAAAAGGAAATAAATGACAGCAGCTGGGTTTTAGGTACATTTTATTAAGTTTATTTAACATGTAATTAGGTATTTAATTCACAGTATAGTATATATTATATTATATTATATTAATGCTTCACAGAATGGCAGTCTTCCCATGAATCTAACATTTGTGTTTTCAGATCAATAGGCCTTAGGAACACTTTCAGGTAGAGAACTCCACAGGGTACACTGAGATCCCATATAGCAGAGGTAGCTGGAGAAGCTTAGCTGCTAACTCCCAGTACACACTCACCCCATGACCGGAACAGACTTTTCCGTTAGAACCAATGGGACAGCTGCTTATGTTCAAGGACTGAATTGGTAGGCACTTTTTGTCCAGACACATCATGTGAGGTCCACATGGGGCTCCATCCTCCACATAACCTAAATCTGTATCGTCATCTAAAAGAACATGAGCACCACTAGGAGAAATAAGTTTTAAGATACTGTTAGTATTATGGCTGGAGTCTTTTGCAAATATTAAACATGTCGGTGTAGATACTAAAAGCCTCACACCTTTCTCTCATTTAAGCACACAGACAGACTGAACAAAATTATAAAGTTTTTCTGTCTGTCCACAGCACTGACAAGGTGTTCCAGTTGTCAGACTAAAAAGAGCTCTAGATAATGACTTAAGTACTCAAAAAGGGCATCTTAAGCTTTTTGGGGTTTTCAATTGTCTTTGATAGGCCATGCTTTTTTCTGTGTTTATTTGTTTGTTTGTTTTCCAAATGCTGTGAAATACTATTTCTAGAAAAATGTTAAAAAACTAACTTTCTGTGTGATGACATTTAAATAAAAATACTAGTGGAATAACAAAAGAGTTAAGAATCATTGTTCACTCAGGATCTAACTATGTAAGAGAATATTCTTAGCATGACAGTGATGTTGCCAATGTCTTTAAAATACAAATCCAGGACTGTGCACAGGAGAATAAAAACCCATTTACCTGCCCTTTAACTGAACTGTAGCTTAACATCTTATCCTGCCACATCTCTTCAGCTTCCTCCCTCTCAGCCTTTACTTCCCTACAGCTGTTTCTCTGAGGACATAATACTTAAAAACATTATATTTAATATATGGCTCTTTAGCAATTACAGACTTTGTTTTTCCCCCCAGAAATGCTGAGCATTAAACTCTGACTGTGAAGTTCTGCTACTGGGGAGATCAGATAGAGTAATCAGGAGGATAATCCACATTTCACCCTCTTTAAATGTGTAATATTGGGCTTTTTTTTTTTTTTAATCAAAAGAAATACCACTCAGAATAATGATTTTTCCCCAAATTACCTAAAATTGTAGAATTTTACATTTATGTTTATCTTAATTCAATTAGGTTTGATAGAGCAAAATCACATTGGAACTCTGCATTATCTTTTACCTGCAGTCCACTATTCGTCCTTGATGATAAAAAGAATTTGGGATAATTTCTCCTTGAACTTGACCAACTCGTGGAACTCTAGTAAGATTAGTACAGAGCAAAAAGCCACAGAAAACATCACTGCAAAATGAAAACATAAATAAAAAAGTTACTGTAATAACATGAAGTAAACTTACAAAAAAGAAAGACTGGCAATGATGCTGCTGACCACGTTAAGTAATACATTACCAGAAGCCACATGACAGACTTTCAGAGTGCAAGTCTGAAAATAAAATATTATTTGATATAAACGACAAGAGGCAGAAACAAGTAATCGTTCATGCTAATGCACCGGTAGAACGTTCATGTGAACAAAAAATTCCTCTGTGCTCTATATACAATATCGAGGAGTCGAACTGCACGAAGCTTTGTCATATCAGGCTAAATTACATTTCCCTCTCTCTAGCAGCTTGGATGCCGTACTTTAATGTGAAGTTTGAGTTTTTAATTGAATTTTACTTCCCTTGCAGGACAACAAAACCATAATAACAATTGTTAGCATGTAGTGTGTGTGACTGAATTTTGGTTAAGAATCTGCTTTATTTGATGTTATTTTATATGCGCCATCTTCAATAGAAGGATATCAGCTTAAAACTTCCATCTCCTACTCTAATTGTCCTAAGTCAAAGAAAGTAGCTGGACGAATGCCAGGAACTGTATTTGTTAAAATTGCAAAAAATTTAAATGGTCCTTCAGCTAGACCACTTTTCTGCACCTCTCTACTGACCAAGAAAAGCTTTTATACAAATGAGGTTTTTTACATACATATCAGAACAACACTATTCTCATCTAAATATAGAAAAAAATCCATTAAATGACTCCTTTCCTTATGATCCTATCTGAAAAGTGAATCATGTAATCAAATAAAACCAAAAAACCCACAAAACTAAAAAAAGCCACTTAACAAACATCAAATAGTCAAAGAAGGAGAACACCATTCCAAGACTGAAATTTTTACACGCATACTTAAAAATTACAAAACAGTGAGTAAATCAGGAGAAATTTAAGTCTATCTACTAATGATTATTAACTTGAAAAGTAAATTTCATCAAATATCCATCTAGTAATGATCACATGCAAATGTATCAGCCATCCAAATGTCTAATGGTCCTCTCTGGTCAAAACAAAGGTTAGAACAGACTTGAAATAGCGTAGCCTGGTCTCAATCCCAGCGCAAGCGAAAACAGGTTGTGTATTTGCAGCCTAATTTATCTCTACCAAGTCTGAAGGTATTTGTATATTATGAACTCGTAACTTTTTGCTGCCTTGTCCCCCAGCTCCTCTGAAAGAACTAAAGTCACAGTACATTCTTCTGAAAATCTGGAATTCTTTACAAGTGCATGGCTGAGTCACCCATGGACTTGTCAGAATAGAATTTTTTCAAGATGCAAACCTTGTGAGTGAAAGAGGATTCAAATAATGCAGAACAATGGCTGCTGAAACATTCACGAAAAAGTAGACGATATTAAACCAGTATTAACCTTTTTGAAATACAAATAATCTCTACCAAGCTGAACTTACTGTTTGCTACACTGAATCCATCTGTCTCCATCCTTCCCACAGTTTCCTTTTTTCGTGCCTTCTGTATTAAGCTTTTCATAACAAAATTTGTCAGACCCTGAAGACTCTGTTGATGAAGAATGGAAAAGGAATGTACTTTCCACTGGCAACATGAAAGCCTTGAAAACTTGCATATTTTATTGCAGCAGTTCTCCGTATTTTTGTAATACAAAACGTAAATCTAACCACATGTGTATGTACACAGATGGTATTTTCCAGTGACTACAGTGGGAATCTACCAGACTGAACTGCAATACCGACAGATGGCTTTTCTAAAATAATGCTCAATGTTCAAAATTTGCTCCGAACTTTTTAAAAAAAACAATCTCCACAGCGTCTTCATTGTCTTCTGTGTTTGAATTTATCTGTGGTTTAATTTCGCTCACTTCATAACAGTGGCATATATATTTTAATCTAGTTGTTTTCACTGCAATTATTTCTGTATTTCAGGACATCAAAGATTTTATATATGATATATATCATATGTTCTGACATCAGCTCAATGTTTATTTTATGTCTTAGGAGTTCACAGAGACAACAAGGTTGGACAGTCAGAGTGTAATTTGTACTGCTTTTTATGAGCAGAAATCTGAACTAATAGGTTTTAAACCACAATTATTTACTCACAAGCCCATTTGTTTTTTCTAAAAATCAATTAAAAAAAAAAAGAAAAGCACAACAATTACACAGAGGGAGATAATATAGGTAAATAAGGATAAAAAGTAAGACAGGGTAGTTTCAGTAAAATCACTTGTGCAGCAGACAAATCAAATATTTTAAAATATAAACGTGTAAGATACAAAGAAATGAGTTAAAAACATCTACTGCCTTTAATATTATCAATAAATGTGAGGTGGCAACATAAAGCTCAAAAAGGCACCAGAAGACAAAGAAAATGATGTCTCCATCCAATTCGACACTTATATAGCATTTTTTGTATTGTACAAGACAAACAATAAATGGTAAAACTATATCCCTCCCCTCTCACCTTCCCTAGAGTGGAGTGATTCTTCTGCCTCAAATAGGCAGTGTCAGCAGTGGCAGTTGTGATCATACAAAATGCACAAGAAAACCTTTAAGCGCATCCTGATAGTTCTGCTCTGCTGAACTCTCTAAGTCATTACACACAGCATTTATCCCCTCTCAGCTGCAGGCAAAATCCATTGCAACTGCAATTCTATTTTACTCAGTACCTCTGGGCTTAAATTTGTACTCTCTATATATTTGAATTCACAGTAATGTACTAATTTTTCTGACTATAGGATGGTGTAGCAAAGAGAGGCAAGGTGGAGAAGCTTCCACATGAAGCACTGCTGGGGTAATGGAAGTGACAACTGTCACGAAAACTCAAAAACATCTGTTTTGAACTATTTTAAGAAAATCCTCAAATCCATTCCCTGCCCCCGTTAACAGTAACTCAAAGTTGCTAATATTTTGTATGTTTTCTCGCCTAATTCCACCAGAGTCTAGCATTTGCTGCCCTACCTATGTCTGCAACCACATCACGTCAGAACGATCTCACTGTGATCACTCCCAAACAGGCATTCAACTCAACGTTTCACTTGCCAATCAAGCCACAGTTTCTCACTGCAGCCTACTCTGCCGAGGAGAAAACTTTAATTTTCAGTGGCAAGAACGAAAAATAAAAACACAAAACAAAGGCAGGAATGAACCAGAAATAAAATACATTTAAGGTAGTTAAAGTTAACCTACTAGATCCCCAGATATATTTGCACTGATTATCTCTTGTCTTGCAGTCACCATTATAGCAACGGCCCTAAACAAAACACAACATGTTAGCAAGCAGAACTGAACGTTATTTCATGTCCTTCACCGCCCCCAACAAATGTCTCATTTTGATTCGTCACACGCACGTACTGGGGTGTATACTAGTTTTCATGAATTTAGGCAGATGGAGTACACATTCTGGTCCAGATTCTCCAAGTCAGCTGGTGTCTAATACATACTGACATTTCAGCAGCTGCTTTCTACTTCACATTTACATTGTTGTAAAGAACTTATTAACATGGAGTGTAATACAAGATCTGCATGTAAAATGTAAAGATACCAAGCAGATTTTACTCAAACTAAAAATTTTTACTATTCATAGACTGCAGAAAGCACAAGCAACATTGATGTCCAAAAGACAAAATTTATGAAGATATATAGAAGACAAGATTAAAAAAAACAAAAAACAAACTTGTATTTGGTTGATTTCTGATGTTCAGGGATTTTAAAACATTGCATACCTGATTTGAATCACAGGCATACCCATCTTGTTTATGAAGATTTGGTGGACACTGAAAAAAAAAAGAATTATTTTTTATCATGTGTACTATAATAACAATACATCAAAGGATCGCATATGGAATTTTCCTGGTTTTAGAAGACAATTGCACAACATATAAAGGGGATAGATAACATAATTAGTGCAAGAATCTTTATAGCTACGAGTACAAATGAAAAAAATCAACATCTTCAGCCATGAAATACAAGGCTTGATCCTAACTTTCTGCATATTCCAAGTAGAAACTACGGAGGTGAGACAAAATAAAAAGCAGAATGAACGTGTTCAGTAACAGGGTATTCAGTAGCTAACACTGGGCCATGTTTGCAACACTGCCACTGCATTCATTTCAGTTCCACTAAGAAGGTAAGCAAGCCCGTAGTGATAGCCTACCAGCCTATTGCTTACATTGCCATGTTCTCTTGGCACTGGAAACTTTTTCGATATGAACACGTCATTAGGTCCAGAAGCCTCAGATTACTAAAACTAGGAGCAGACCATTCTCAAAGCTTTTCCTCATCAAAAAAGGGACCTGTGAAGATTTGGAAAGGGTATGCTGCTGCAGTGTACCACATTAGCCAATACTCTGAGGACAGCCTTTCTAGCTTAATAAAGCCCTTCTCCTTCCCATTAAGAATGCCCCATCTACAGAATAAAATATTTACAATAAAATCTCAGCAATAGGTACTTATCTGTAAGTGTGGATGTCTTAGATGATAACATAAAGTTACTGTTAATTTATTAGCATCTATAATTACAGTCAATGCCCAGAGAGACGTGATCTATCCTGAATCTTATTTACTCAAAGCTGAGAATTTGACGCCATAGATGACTGCAGTAGAGTTACGAAATTCTTAAATAACCTTAAGCTAAACACTCAGTACTCAAAAGGTGCACATACCACCTAAAGCGTCAAAGTTGCTGTCAAAATGGAAGATGTACAAAATGATGACTAAAAGAACTCAAGTTAAAACAACCCTTGAGTTTCTGTTTATTCCTATAATTTTGAGTATTGACCAAATGTTTTCAAGAGAATGCATAAGATCCACTTCTTTTAAAATTATCGCATTCAGTTGCTGAGGCGAGCAGCTCCAGAGCCAGCACAATCCAATCCACTGCGAAGCACTGTAATGTGGTGCACAGAGGGGTTTCCTGAACGGGGGCAACATCAGGGGGAGCCGAGAGTGCCGCCAGGAGCTAGCAGCTCATGTCACAGTGGCTGACGAGACCTTGAGGGGGCAAGAAGCAACGGCCAAGCTGCCACTGCCACCTGCGTAATAGAAGCCCATAACAGAAGCCCTTAGGGAGCACCAGCAAGCAGGGTGTGGCATGGCAGGGCATGGAGGAGCAGCACTGAACTCTGCCAGCTTGACCAGGGTGCAATGGTTATCTACCGAGCAGAAATTCAAGGCCTCTCTAAGCTCTGCACCCACCACAGCTGACACAGCTTCCCAGACAGAGCTGCCACATGTGCCTCGCTCTTATGCCAGCAGCAGACAGCAGCAGTGAGCACACCTGTGCGAGACGCACCCAGGTAAAGGAACTCCTCTGCTTAGTGAGAGAGCTCCAGGAGGAGGTGAGTAGGTTGAGGAGTATCAAGGTGGGCAGGAGAGAAAGCCAGAGAGCAACACACACTATGAGAATCTACCCTGAGACAGGCAGACGAGAAGCCTGATACTGATCCTTTGAAACAGGCTGTCCAGGGAAGTGGCTGAGTCACCATCCCTGGAGGTATTTACAAGACGTGTAGATGTGGCACTTGTGGACATGGTTTAGTGGCAGATTTGGTCGTGTTAGTTTAATGGTTGGACTCAATGATCTTACGGGTCTTTTCCAACCTAAATGATTCTATGATTCTATACTCAAATTAGTTGTAATTTTTTACATTTATATTTTAAACTATTTTATTTCATAAAATACAATGGTTATTACCTTTGAATCCATTCACATTTGCAGTATATTCTTAGTAGTTATGTTATAGACCAGGCAAAGAGTAAAGGAGGATGTCTGACAAATACTATGCAGACAGGCAAAAGCGCACAAGTTTTAAAAAACAAACCTACAGAAGTCGTATTTTAAGGCCACTTAGATTAATTCCTTTTTTTGAGCTTATGGTAGTTTATTCTTATGTTTAAAAAATTTTATTAGGATTAAAAAACCCTCCACAGTTATTTCTGAGTATATGAGAATGCAGTTTTTTAATCCAGATTTTCCTCTTCAATTGATAGAAGATGAGAGCAAACAAACATCAATAATGTAAGCAGAGAAAGCTTCTGCACACTTACCTGGCCAGAATCTCCAGTGCAGATCTCTGCAATATCACATTCATTCACTGCATAGCGACAGTCATAGCCTCGTGGGAAAAACTAGAAAATGAAGAATACGGTTCAGGACTACAACTATGTGAAAGCAAAATTAAAGGTTCCTGTTCAGAATTACTCCTCATTTTAACACTTTGTAGACACTATACTAACACAATTGTCTTTTTTTTTGCTTGGCTTAAAAACAGAACACCACAATCTCAATAGTTATTTTCAAGTGTTGAAAAAGATCTCATTTCTTAATCTTTTAAAGGCTAGACTGAAGCATACAATACTTTGAAAAATTATGTTTTTTTCTCTGATATATAAATGCAAACAAAATGCATTTTTACATGAACACATATCCAATGCAATCTATCCCCTTTATATTAGGGGCAGTAACCACATTATTGTCTGGAATAACAGTCTTAGTCTACATAAGCAGTTCCTTTTAATCCTACATAAAACACACTTTGAACTGTAACAGGCTGCACATGACTTCAGTGGACAACTGAAAAGAAAATAGACATACTGCAGCGACACTCACAAGACATGATGTATTACAGCAGGGTCCATCGCTACAATGAGCTCCGTTAGAAAGAGAGCACTTCTTACAACAGTCTGCATAGCATTCCTTGAGAAAATATTAAGCAACATTTTTAGTTTTCCATTTTAAATAAGTTTTTTCTTCACAATCTTTTCAACAAACTATTATGTATCAGCAGACAAAAGATTCAGTTCAGCAATAATAACCTGCAGTTATCAGCTGGAAGAATCCTTTGCAATGCTCAAATATTAAAGCAAAGGGAAAACACTGACACATATGCTACAGTAACAATGGGATTCACACCTTCTGAAGCCTCTTCACAGGTGTGGAACCACCTGTGCCAATGCACGATGCTCAGTCAAATTGCATTCAATGCAGAAAAAAGATCAAGAAAACTAATTATGGGTGTAATTATGTTTAAATACTAGAACTAGGACTCAAAGCCACAGGGCAGATTTTTGCAAAAACACTCTTGGAATATTTCTACAATAGAGAAGAAAACAGTTTACTTTTGCTGTCTGAACACAGGCACCTATCTCCAAAGCATAGATAAGGAGTCTATCACTCCAGGCACGCTATCCAGGAAAAGTAAAGAGGTAAGCACTTCTACAGTTCAATTCAAGAATTGCTGGAAAACAGCTACACCTTGTCAGTACGACAAGACTGTTCTGAGGACACTCTCCGTTGTTGCAGTCATTCTTACTTGAAAAAATGTTTTAACACAGTCCTTTAAGTTGTTTCCCTACCAATAAGCAAACCAAACTCATTCCATAACTTTTGCCCTTTCCTAACCAGTCAGATAATTCATCTTAATATATTTTGTAAGACAGACTTGTGGAGTAATATGTAACTCTACTTGCCATTCGGAAACCGCAATCGCATTCTTCTCCTGCTTCTACATATCCATTTCCACACTCAGTGGTTTCAAAGAGCTGAAAGCAAAAAAGCCCCCCCAAAGTCAGAATAAAACTAGTATCAAATTACTTTTCTGTCACACACAGCCCATCTTTGCAATGCTACAGAGACACACTGTCACAGAGAATACATGGTGTGCTACTGCGATGGGAAGGCAGCACGTTTTTCAAGTGCTGTTAGAATTGTCAAGACACGAAAGATGTAGAGCTAAATCACTTGATTGCCAGCCCTCTTTAGGAGAACACTGATCTCAGAAAACTATGATAAACAGAACGACGATAAAATAATTCTCCAGAGGATAACATTTGAACTTCATTCCAATTCTGTGGACTCCAATTTCTTGGAGAAACCTTGGACAATTCCTTCAAGAAACCAGTCAGTAATACAATCTCTGGGATCTACTCCAGCACCCATACTTGCTCATGCAATTACCTACTGTCTATTCCAGTGTAACATGTTTGTGCATGAAAACAATAAACATTCAGAAACACTGCCAAAAGGAAGTCCTATGTGCCTCATTAATAAGTTAGAATAACACAACCATATGGAGATAGTGCTAAACAGTTACTCCTAGGACCAGATATATACAATACAGATAAATTCTACAGTTCAGGATGATATAGATTCTATACTGGTTTCACATATTATCACTTTGATTAAAGGTGACTGCCCACTGCAGGAGAAAATCAGTCTCGAGACCATGTAAAGAAGCTGAAGGTGCACAAGTCCATGGGACTTCATGAAATGCATCTGCGGGTCCTGAGGGAACTGGCAGGTGAAGTTGCTAAGCCACTATCCATCATATTTGAGAAGTTGTGGCAGTCTGGTGAAGTTCCCACCAACTGGAAAAGGGGAAACATAGCCCCCATTTTTAAAAAGGGAAAAAAGGAAGACCTGGGGAACTACAGGCCAGTCAGTCTCACCTCTGTGCCTGGCAAGATCGTGGAGTGGATGCTCCTGGAAACTATGCTAAGGCACATGGAAAATGAGAAGGTGATTGGTGATAGCCAACATGCCCTTAGTAAGGGCAAATCCTACCTGATAAATTTGGTGGCCTTCTGTGATGGAGTTACAGTGTTGGTGGATAAGGGAAGAGCAACTGACATCGTCTACCTGGACTTGTCCAAACCATTTGACACTGTCCTGCACAACATTCTTGTCTCTAAATTTGAGAGACACAGATTTAAAAGATGGACCACTTAGTGGATAAGAAATTGGCTGGATGATCGTACTCAAAGAGTTGTGGTCAATGGCTCGATGTCCAAGTGGAGGTCAGTGACAAGCAGTGTTCCTCAGGGGTCGATATAGGGGCCGGTGCTGTTTAACATCTCTGTTGGCGACACGGATTGTGGGATCGAGTGCACCCTCAGCAAGTTTGCTGACGACACTGAGCTGTGTGGTCTGGTGTGGTCAACACACTGGAGGGAAGGGATGCCATCCGGAGGGACCTTGACAGGCTGGAGAGATGGGCCCCTGCAAACCTCGTGAAGTTCAAGAAGGCCAAGTGCAAGGTTCTGCACATGGGTCGGGGCAATCCCAAGCACAAGCACAGGTTGGGTGAAGAATGGATTGAGAGCAGCCCTGAGGAAAAGGACTTGGGAGTGCTCGTTGATGAGAAGCTCAGCATGAGCCGGCAATGTGCGCTTGCAGCCCTGGAAGCCAACTGTATCCTGGGCTGCATCCAAGGAAGCGTGGCCAGCAGGTCGAGAGAGGGGATTCTGCCCCTCTGCTCTGCTCTCATGAGACATCACCTGCATTACTGCGTTCAGCTCTGGAGTCCCCAGCACATGAAGGACATGGAGCTGTTGACTGAGTCCAGAGGAGGGTCACAAAGATGATCCGAGGGCTAGAGCACCTCTCCTGTGAAGATGAGCTGAGAAAGTTGGGGTTGTTCAGCCCGGAGAAGAGAAGGCTCCAGGGTGATCTTAGAGCAGTTAAAGGGGGCCTACAAGAAAGCTGGAGAGGGACTTTTTACAAGGGTGTGTAGTGATAGGACAAGGGGTAATGGCTTTAAACTGAAAGAGGAGAGATTTCAGTTAGATCTAAGGAAGAAATTTTTTCCATTGAGGGTGGTGAGGCACTGGAACAGGTTGCCCAGAGAAGTTGTGTATGCCCCATCCCTGGAAGTGTTCAAGGCCAGGCTGGATGAATAGCAATACCCATACATAGTCTTCTTCACTGGCAATGTCAACATGATTCATAAAACTGAAATTTGTGGTTTTTTCTCTATAAGCCACTGTTGCTACTATGCTTCAGAGGAAATAGCAAGAACTCTTACTATGAACCTGAAATTCAGTTCTCCATCAAACAGACCTGGTTATCTGACCTGTAGCCCATAAGAAAACAAAAATGGGTCAACCAGAGAAATGCAAGAAAATAACAGTACACAAACTTCCTATGGCATTAATCAGGAACTATCAAATATTCATATACATGTCATGGCATAACTCAAAGGTTATAATTAAAATGACATTATGGTGATGGTGACTGCTTAACACAAGTACATTTTATTTACCTAAAGATTAAACACACCGTTTTCCACCTTTCCTCTCAACCTCCAAACAATAGGTTTCAAAATACTGTATGATTTTTTTTTTCCCCCCAAAGTACTTTAACTTCAAAGCTGTGAAACACAGACACAGATAACATATAAAGATAATTCAACCATTCTCCTGGGAGCATTTTCAGGGAAGTAAACTAGATTGTTATTCTGTATACAGTCAATTTGACAATCTGTTCATATTACTTTGCTAGACCACCATCATCAAAAAATGAAGCTGTGTTTTTCTTTCTCCTTACTTATTCTTTTCTGTAAGAATTCTTACATTCTAATTCTATAAGCAAAGATACTACCCTGGGAAAAGATTAAAAAACACTCTTAACGAGCAACATTTTTTTCAGTTAATTGTGCAAGGTAGTGGCCTGCCACAGGATACAGCACAGTAAACAGAGGAGCCTAACAGTCTCATGCGGTATTAAATTCTACAAGGACAGCAAGTTTGACACCCTGATTAAATAGAATATTAGTACTTTCAATTGATCTTACTTTGCAAAAAGAGCCACATGGAATATTTTTATACTACTCAGCTTTAGAAGGATGTCATGCTAATACGGCTTTAGAAAAAATTATGACCGTAATAAATTTTTAGGCGAAAAAAGCAATGGATGGTACAAGGAAACAGTTATAAATTACAGAGTTCGCTGGATGTACATCTGAAATGAAATGAAATTAATTTAACTTTGAGAACAACCACAAGCTGCTACTGTCTATATTATGTAAGCTATTGATTTCTAATTCCTAGTGTGGTAATTAGCTTTCTTTTAGCAACCGCAGGCAAGACGTCCAAGAATTGAGTGTATGCACTATGACCTCACTTCTGGATGTATTTTGCACTACTTTCAGCTTAAAAAGTAGGGCATTTATGTTGAATAGGGATGTAGCTAGCTGTGAAAATCAACTGCAATATTTCTCATTATCTGAGCATGAAGAATTGATGGAAAACAAGTTGCATTCCTCTTAAGATTATTTTTAAATGTGGGAATGAACAGTCAGCTAATTACAAGCAACCTCAAGAAAATACCCATGTAGACATTTGAATAAATTTGAGAACAGATGAGTGTTAGTGAAATTATTACATTTTCATTACAATGTTTAGCAGTGGTGCTGACTACGAAAATATTTATTACCTTTGTTGGCCTGTTGAAAAGACAGGCACCTCCCCCACGAAGTAAAAATTCTTTGTATTCTGCAATGCTGCATTTGGAGAATTTCCTGGAATGGTATACCCTAAAATGGCAAGGAATTAGCTGAATAAATGTCTTGAAACACCAACAGTTACTGGAAGGGGGCAGAGGGGTCACAACTTTTTTTTAATACTGTAAATCCCAGTTTCTTACAACTACTGTGTGCACAAGTATGTCAGCTCAGTCTTATTCTCAAAATAAAATCAGAACAACGAAAAAAGTTTTTAAACATTTTGCATTTTTATATTTCTATTATATGGATCTATGGTATATGAAACTGTCATCTTCTAATCTTCTTAATAATGTGAAACCACATTATCGTAATAGCTGCAACGCAGCCTCTCCATTGCATGCATAATCCAGTGTTTACTTGGGTTATTTCCCCTGCAGCTTCAGTTTAAAAGATAATTGCAATCCAGATCCCTGATTTCACATCAGGGTTCTAACTGTTCAACTCGTCTGATGCTGTTAATAAGGTTAATTTTTGAAGTAAAAGTAATTGTAGCCATAAGAACAGCTGTATAGGGTCAGACTAAAAAGTCGCTTTACCCAAATCCCATCTCTGATTTTGGCCCTGAAAATATGCCCAGGGAAGAGTAGAGAACATAGCACTGTACTATTACTTGCAGAGTATTTTTTCAAGCTCTGAACAATTTTCAGCTCAGTGACTTTCTCAGGAAGCCTTGTTTTGTCTTATTTAATAATCTTCATTGCATTTTCTCTCATGAATTTGCCCAAAATCTTTTAGCATCTACAAGATGCCATAGGAAGAATTTTCACAGCTTAATTACAGAAGGTAGCAGAACAGTTTCATTTATTTATGTCACCTATTCATTAGTCTCATTTCATGCCTCCTTAATTCTTACACTGGAAGAAACAGCAATCATTTGCTATGTTGTTCACAATGTTACAGACTTCTCTCATATTTCCTCATCTCCATCATCTTCCCAGTCTGATGAAATCATACTTTATTAGTCATTTCTCACACAGAAACTGTCTGATATTTTTATCAGCCATGTTTTGAGATCTAGGAATGAGAACTATTCACACTATCAAAGATGGGAGTAACCATGCCATAAGGAGGTTCTTTGTTCCTCTGCTAGCAGCTCACTGCTACTGAACTGACGTTTCCCCATTGAATTAGTCTCTATATGAAAAACGTCTTCTGGCACTGATGGAATTAATTGAAAAGGTTTTACATTGCAACTAATTATTCACTCATTTCATTAGTCAGTCCTTTTTCAGTTTCTAGGTGACTATCATCTGCTCCTGGCATTTCTTGTACGGTTACCTTATCTACAGAAGAGGTTTGTTCCACAACTACTTCAACTGATATTTCCATCTGAGCCTGACACTTTGATGAGTTCATCACAGGAAGGAAGCTAGTGTCTATTCTGATCTGCGCCTTACTTTGGATTCCAGAAGCAAACTTACTGAAAAAATTTCTGTTGCCTTCATACGGTGGCTGGCAATTACAAGTCTACAGGAAAGCCACATAGTAATTCTACTGAAGAACCCATTTCCAAATACCACATGAAGAAACTAAGCTCCTTCTGTCTTATTTATAACGAATTTTCTCCAGGATGTTTGCAATCAAACTTCCACAGTGAGCAAGAATTCTGACAGGACTCAAACCCCTACGTTTCAGAAGCTATCATTTTCTAATCAATTGATTACAGTATAGAGAAAAGAATCTTTGACAGTGTGTGAGGGGAGAGGGAAATGAAACCTGTTTTCTCCCCACAGAGGTGTGCTTCCCCCTTAGACTTCACTGACCATTTAGCTAAGGATTGCGAGCACTTGCTGAAAGTTTGAGGTTTCTACTTTTATTCGCTGGAACAGAAGCAGAGAGATCTGTTCACTCAAAATTAGAATTTTGAAGGAATTGCATAAAAAAAGAATTCAAATTTAGGAGGAAAATAGAAATATCACTTATCAAAACTGTATTATAACACTTTTTCAGCTGCATGTAAAAAGTATAACTGGATTTATTTAATGAAAAATATACATTCTTTACTTTTCAGTCATTGTAAGTATAGCAAAGCATTAGTGAATACACTGCATTGCACTCCAAAATATAAGATTTATGAATAACTTCCTAAAACGTGAATAGCAAAGGGAATGAACCGTTGAAAATGGAAATCACTGATCTATACGTTTGGGTTTTTCCAACTGCTTCTAGTTTTTCATTTATTAATACTAAAACACATGGACGAAACCCAATACATAAATGTTTATGTCATAGTGTAAACTATGAACTCATTCCAGAGCCCTCAATTACTGATAGTTATGACATACCCCGTCTCCTCCATGATGCAACCACCCCAGGATTCAGTGCAGTCACACTCTTCTCAGACAAGACCAAAATACAACAGAAAAGGAAAGCAGTTATAAATATGCTTACAATAAATATAAAGTACTCACTATAAAAATGGACCTTGACGAATTACACAAAGATTAGATGGTTGCTTGGCTGTACAGGTTCTAGCCCTAAAGAGGAAGCCAGCCCACTTGAAGAGATACTAATATGCTTAATATAAACATGGTACTTTCAAATTACCATATGTGCATGTCCTGAGACTCAACGCAAAGTTTCAGGCAGTACAGAAAGCTAAAAATAGCTGGCAATGTTCTTCCCTACATGCTATCAAAACACACAGCACAAGGGTATATGCAGTACACAAGGTACTGATGATTAAAAATGTTCACATTTCCTCCTCCCTAAAATGTGTACAGAACACCATGAAGGAGAGTTGTTACTGAACAGGCCATGTTTTTTCTCTTTGGCATAGAATTATTAATAGTAATATGTGAATCAGCCAATCAAACATTCATTAGAAAAAGCAGTTGAGCGAAAATGGATTTACAGTTTACTTACAGCTACAGCATGTAAGTCAACAGTGACCAAATTCCAAAAATAAAAACAAAAGATCAACATGTTACGGTTGGTAAAACAGACGTTTTAAACGACCCATAAAAAATATCTACCAAAGTAGTAATATTTTCAAGAAGAAAGATTCTGTATTCTGGTTAATACAGCAAATCCATACTGGTTCTCCACAGAAAATATTCACAGATTATTTATAGGCATATTTCTACTCTATCCAGATCTTTCATTAATCTTTCTCTATAAAGGGTATCTGAATAAGGAAACTGAGGTATCATTTTAAAACTCCCCATCTTACAGTTAAAAAAGATTCTGATTTCCAAATTATATGAACTCTGCTTTACCTGTAATCAAACACCAATGATATAGAAAATATTTCAGCAATTTCCAAGTTTACACAATTCAAAAGCGATGCTTTACAAAACAACATTCCCTAAACTTTTCCACATTTTTTCCAAATTCATAGATTTCTGAAGTGATTCAAAATAAAGTCAGCGTTATCAGTCACATTTTTAAAGAAGAATCAAAGAGAGAAAGTAGCCAACAAATTGCTTACAAGATGTGAGTGGAAAAACCCCAACAATTTTCTATAGCCCCAAAAAGGGCTTTTGCAGCAGCTTCTGCACCTACACTCCACATGCATTAAGGCCACATCAGTCTAATCTTCTGGCTGTGAAGCAGCAAGATAACAAGTTGTGCAAATGTCACCCTGGACCCAGTTTCTTACTATTTCTTCAATTTTCAATCAGGTATTTTTGTATTTTAAGAAGTCAATAATAGTTCTATAGGAATTACAGATTTCATTATGACAAATAAGGAGTTCTGAGTTAAATTAATGGTGTTTTTACCATTATACTTTTGAATGTTGGTTATGAATCTAACCTCCTGACACAGGACATCACTGAGATCCCTGCAAAGCGAGTGCTAACCTGGTGGCTTTTATTTTGGTTGAACTCCAATTTTGATGCACGTATTTCCAAAAGCAGCAATTCTTGTCCTACAGTTACAGCAAGTTTGGTATTTGTTTCAAATATTACAAAGGAAGAGTTTATATATTTAGCTAAGGAGGACAAAAGAAGACTCCATGTCCCTGTACATACTTGGTTTCCTGGCAGCTGGCTCCCATTGTATTCCGAGGTTCTGCGCAAGACTTTGTGCCAGTTCCTGTGCCATAGCCAAAGGGAGGCCATACTGCATTTCAAGAGGAACACAATTAAATAAACAACCAATCAATCAAAAACCAAACTTAAGTTATTGTATTGAACACTACACTGGCTTGTTCTGGCTTAACACATACCTACTACCTCAGTAATTCTGTATAGCCAATCACAATTCTGTGTGCATATAAGGAAAATAAACACAATGAAATATGTAACAAAAAAAAAATTCTTAACCTGCCAGAATCTGTGTCCACTGGTTAACCTACAGAAAGAAGTCTGTTTGATATATATGTAATATAGTTTTGTATAGTATGATTAACTCTCATTAAAATAGGAGATATTAATTACTGATTTGGGTCTAAACTCCTGCCAAATACACTAAAAGCCAATTTAAGATCTTATGAAGAGAATAATGCAGACAGGAGGCATGCTTTTTAAAAAGAAAACCACAGTGAGCAGTAGTTTAATGATGATACAAGAAGGCTGGCTGTGAGAATCCTTACTCTGAGGATAAGTAAGTTACCTTTAAACAAACTGAGGTTATAATATACAGTTTTTATTTTATTTCACTGTAGTCATGAAAAAAAATTACCTCATTCACTCCTACTCCTCTCGCCACAGAGCAAACCCCTCCAAAGTAACTTAAGCTGCTCCTTTTGTAATGAAATGTCACATTCCTTACAGACAAATAAAAATAAAGAAAATATAACACATTGACAGTGGGCACCAAGAACTTATTGAAAGATCACACTTTCCCACATACTATGATACATTGCATACGCATCAATCCTCATCTAACCCAAAAGCAACTGCAAGTTTACAAACAGAACATTGACATCAAAAGAGTCAATTAGCTACAACCTTTGACAAAAATACTATTTTTATCTTGCCTAGTCAGAATCAGTCCCAACTCGCAAGCAAACCAAGCAAAGAAAGCTGGAGTACCACATTCCTAAGAAAATACAATGATAACGTTTCCTTTAAAAAGATAAAAAGATATTTGAATGTATAATTTGTCAAGAAGGAATTCTGTACTGAAATGTATCAGTGTTGAGAATTTTTTAATTATGCTCTTAATCCAAACCAATTCAAGTTCTAGTTTCAACTCCAAATGAAAAGACTGAGAAGTATACTTAAAAGGAAAGTAACTTAATACTGCTCTTTAACCCTGCCTCTTTTCATTTATGGTTAATCACTGAGGGGAGGTTCTAAACAACTGATATACCACATGATAATTTTATTTAAATACTTTTTTTTTTTTTAAAGAGCAGCTAAGACCCAAATAATTTAGTTAAGTGAACCTAATCTGGAAGATACAAATTATTCTATAAAATGTCTATAAATGATTATGAATTATACCTATTTTGACTTCACAGGCATAATAATAAATCTACACAGCCTTGGGCATGCATAGCAAATGACCCTAATCTTTGAAAATGAAATCCTTTTACGATAGCAGAATCAATGTCCCTTTATTTTTTCAAACGACAGAATACTCCAGATAGGTATATATTTATTTTTTCAGAACATTCTGACAGCCATCAGAACTTCAAACTGCAGCTTAACTATACTAAGTGTTTAAAGCTAGATGTTTTACACAATAGACAGAACCACAGCAAGGGACGAGGTTGGCAGGCGCTTCTGGAAATGGTCCAGTTCAACACCCTTGCTCCAAGGAGGCTCAGTTGAAGCAGGCTGCTCAGAGCCATGTTCCATTGGCTTTTGAATATCTCCAAGCATGGACATTCCACAGCCTCTCTGGGCAACCTGTTCCTGCATCTGATCAACTTCACAGTGAAAGGGTGATTTTTTTTTCCCCTATGTTTAAATAGAATTTCCTGTATTTCCATTTGTGTTTGATACCTTTCAACTTGCACCACTAAGAAGAGTCTGTTTGCCCACCAGTAAACTCTTCAGTAAGTGACACAATACATGCATAAAAGTAATGAAGAGTGCACTTTGCACATCTTATGAAAAACATAATTAGCATTGAGTTGCAATGCCTGTATTAAGGCAGTACAACTATGACAGAAGCTGGAGGAAATTCTTCATCCCCTATTTTTATCTTCCTCTGCAGAAGATGAGTGATAGCAGAATCATATGAAAGACCTCTGTCACTTCATCTTTGTAGTATGTCATGCTGCTATGAGAAGGCTTAAGATCTTTATGCTGCACAGGGGAACACACTCTTCCTCCTCTTTGCTTACAAATGCTGTGAAGTAAAAAAATACTGTTGCTCAAGGTTGACGTTGTGCCTAATGATGCAAGTGGAATTTCCCCTCAGAACATATTGTCTCAGAAAACAATTCACTACAGCTCTAAAGGAGACCTTCCATTAACAAATCATCACAAGCTATGTGTGTGAATAAATATAGTAACTGGAATGCTCTTGTGGCAACACATAAAACTGTCAGCTCTGCCCTCTCCTGCTCTTTACTGGGAAAGCAGTACATTACACACCTGATAAGCAAAACCCTTCAAATATGTGACACTGTTTCCAGGTTGCAAAGACATTAAAATTTCATTATAGGCATATATAAACGTGACCATGGTATACGCTACACTTATTAAAAATAGACTAACATGTTAAAAACAGATTAAGCTTCCTAAGGAAGACAGATGCTGATTGATGTAGTGACTACCAAGCAAAAAAGTAAGCAAGAAGAGACAGGTTGATAAAAGCAGTCGACAGAAAAGTATATAAAACTCTACTAGTCTAAACCATTGTGTAATGGTACATACGAGAGCAGGTGGACAGCATCAGCATGCTGTTTGATGTAGTGCTGTCGATATTTGGAGAAATCATGAAGCATCTGCAGAGGGTCAGGGTGAATACTAATACGATCTTTTTCCGTCCAAGTTTCCACAGCAACGAGAACCACCCTGGTGTTCAACTGTTCCTTGTATATCTGAGGGCAGAGACAGGACAGGCACAGGAGTAGAACACTGGGTCAAACATGCACAGTTAGCCAGTAAGAGTAAAGCGGAAGGACAAGAGGGATAAAGCAGGAGGGAAATATAGGAAACAGTTAGCTGGTAATGCCTTGGATTTCCTAAACGTTAATATTCTGATCAATTTTTTTTTTTTTTCCTGAGAGGGCAAAAAAAAAATATCTTGTTGCTCTTTTTTTTGAGCTACTCTCTTTTCTTTTAAATTCTCATGTCAAGTAACTTCTCTACTGAGTTTTGCAGAAAACCAGTAAAAAAAAATCAGCAAAAAGGAAACCTAAAGATACACTGGGTGATCTCAAAGAAAAAGGAAAGAAAGATCTCAAAGACAGAATAGCCAAAGCCAATTCTTAAGTCAATATTAAATAATTTCTCAGTTCTCCAATACATCCAAAATTTAATTCACATAATGCTTGATTTTCATTTCTAGTATGATCACTTTATGCTAGTCAAGTAATGTGAGAATTAAGTAAGAATATTAATTTGTCTATTAATTTTAATGTCACTGTAGCAATGGACAAAGAAACAACAATCAGGCCCAAGTAATTACAAAACAGCTTTAAAATATCCATTTTAACTTTGTGCACGATACTTGATTCTAAAATAAAATTGCTGCTTTCTTTAGGTTCAGGTCATAAAATGCCAAATTTTATTAACTAAGGTTATTCAGAACTTGCAGATCTACAACAGATGAACTCTTTATCCGCAATAGACAGTCTGCCCTTCAAAAGTCTTACATGGGACATGAAAACACTTACTGATCGTACTTAGTTATGATCTAGAAGCACTGGATAATTAATCCATTGGCTGTTTAATGCATAAAATACACAAAAGGCAAGTTATTTGATCACTTCCATAAGGCATTATATTAAACATATGTTTTTATTATCTTTTTTCCAAATAACGCCTACAATAGACAAGATGAATTGCAAATATCCTCCAGCAGTTATAACAGACTGAATAATCTAGCACTGACTAGCATGCTAGTCTTTTGTATCAAGGCAGCATTATCCTTATAAAGAAGCCAATGCATAATAATCTGCTTCGGAAAAAAGGCAATAAATACAGGAGGCAAGTCAGAGCAACCAGCTAAGCTCAATTTTGTCCAAGAACTTTGAAGGAAAAAGGAATATTAATATGCTTCAATCGGAGGGAGATAGCCTGAGGACACGCACAGAAAATGGTTAATGACATGACAAAAACTGATAAAAATAAACCTCCGAAATCACATACGGGTGGATCAATAAAGGCTTTACTTGTGTTTCCTGAGAGGAACACTATTTCCTGAAGCAAATGGAGGGAAAGAATGGAAGAAGGGGCAGAGAACCTGGAAGCCTCTGAAAGCAAATATCCTTCTCCCATAATATAACAGTAAGAAATAAAGCCCACTCCCTACAAACATAAGGGAATAACAAGGTGGAAATTCCTGCTCCTTTTCACACTTTGTTTAAAGAAAAGGCCATTAAGATCATAGAATCATAGAATGGTTTGAGTTGGAAAGGGCCTTAAATATCATCTAGTTCCAAACCTCCTGTCACAGGCAGGGATACCTTCCACTAGAGACCAGGTTGCTCAAAGCCTCTTCCAACCTGGCAATGTTATGTTATCTTGCAAGATCTCTATGAGGTGACTGAATTCTACACTGGAGAGAAGTTGAATGTTTCTGTATACACACACATAGCAAATGAAAATGGAAAAACAGAAGGAATAGTCAGAGAAAGGAAAGGCAGATTAAATAACTTTTGTTAAAATGCAGAAGAAATACAAAAAAATAACAATCAGATGAGGAAAAAAACCCGAAGATGCTACCCTTTCTTTGGGAAGGTCCAATATAATTGCAAAAATATTATTTCAATTACTTATATTTTTATCTGCTCTAGTAACTTTTCTTCAGACTACTGGCATGTTCAAACCATTACACAAAAATATTCAAAAACACTTCCAGTATTTTATATATTATAAATATATTCACCTAAATTTTTAATATACATACAGTATATAATATCTTATGTATAAAGTATTATAAGAACAAATATTGCATTGATTCCTGTGAACTAAACAAACTGCTGACAATGTTTTGCACTGAATCATATCACACAGTTCTATTGGTATCAATAACGTCACATGGAAACGGGACTTTGTGTCAGAGTTTTACTAGCCATTGCATTCATCACTACTAGAGTGATGTTTTCACTACAAACACAGCTCTGAGATGCATGTAGTCACTACAAGGATTAAAAAAATAAAATAAAATTTTACCACAAATCCTACTTTTAGTTTATATGCTCTATGTGAAATTGTTCCAAATTTAGTCACAGATACAAGTATGGTATCTGTGTCAGTGTCACCCATTTATAATGTACTACAATGGGATTGGTTTGGTTTTAAGCTAAAAATAGAGATTTATAAAGGAGAATTTTTATTCACAGTTTCTTTCTCTCCCAATAGATATGTGTATCCTTTGTGAGCTACACTCACAGCTTCAACCACTTGCGGTTAGATTCATTTCATGAATCTAAACTTGATTAATTCTCATTCTTAAGCAGTGACAGATAATGAAAATTCCTTCAAGTTTGAAATTCCCCCTGCCAAGAGCACACTCTGGAAGTTGCAAACTTTGAGAAAAATGCCAAGGATAATTAGGTGGTCTCTTACATGTTTATTTTTCTGTAGAGGAACCAGAAATTATTTTTAAAACGTAATTTTTATAGTTGCTCATTTTTTTAATCCTGGTATTTGCTAATGGTACCTTATTAAATACAGCTCTAAACTAACAAAGCCACTGATACAGTTTTCAGAAGAAACATTGATACTTACAGCATCTACAAGGTTTACCACAGACTTTGCAAAATTGTTTGTGTATGCATTTGAAGAACGGTGCTTTTTGAACTAAAAGGAGAAGAAAAAGTAGAACACAGTGAGAACTTAAATATTCATTACTAATATTTTATTTTTACAGTAAGAAAGGAAAACTAATATTTTTAGAAAGAATAAGGGAAAAACTCAAAAAGCTTTCCAAATCACAGCCTGTATCTCATATTCAAGAATCCCTGGAAGATAAAGGAAGTCATGTCTGCTAGACAGCCTTTCACATCTATAAAAGGAGCATTTAGCCACAAGAAATATTCTATCTAGAATCAGAGTTCAAATGTTTGAATAAAATTACAGGTAAACATAAACATGAGCTCAAAATTGAATGATGTTTGAATGAGATTACTCATTGAAATTACGCTTAACCTGATGAGTTAAATATTGGCCTGCCGCATTCCATGACTATAATTATGAGACATGAAGATGAAACATTTACCACTTGTCCTGTGTACAGCTCTTTGCAAAAGCATCCTTTCTCTACTACAGCACCAGACTTTTATGACAAATAGCATTAGTTACACCAAAAGGCAAAAAGGAAGAGGGAGTGTATGGTAGAAGTAAATATGTGTTTGAACGTGGAAAGAGTTAAGCTAAATAGCTTAAGTTTTAACTTCATTTTTTTTCCATTTCTATAGACTTAGATGAGTTGTATTACAAGTTCTGCTTCCTAATTTCTGGGCATGTCATTACAATCAATTCATGCCTTTCCTTATCCTGCCTCACAAGTTCCCTCTGTTTCACGTCAAATTTTCCAAAGATGCTGCTATGGTATCTGAACACAAATCCATGACTTCAAAAAAACTGTAAAATTAAAACCAAAATTGCATTACACAATATGATTCGCAGGCAGGAAAAATGAGTCTTCAACATTTCACAGAAAAGGAACACAAAATTGCATATAACAAAGAGGGTAAAAAGTCTTACTAATTTCAACTACTGCTTAAAAGCAACAAGTATCATCACCTCATGAGCAAACATTATCAAGTTCCATGAAAGTGTCAGCTGTTCCTACTCCAAAACACAGTGCCCAAAAAAAGGCCTTGAAACAAGAGGGTCTGACACTTCTCTGAGCAACTGAGTAGCTACTCTCATCAAATAAGTAAGATGATTAACGATCTTCCCAAATCAAAATTACAAAACAGACAAATCCCCCGTTTTCCAGAGTTATGCTTGGTGCAAAGGTGAAAGTAAAACTGGGAGATATATGTGCTTTTAAAATTAAATAATCTGTTTCTTAAATTGAAAGTCAGGAGACACACACACACACTATATCACTAGACAACAAATTTTCCATCCCTTTAAATTCCGGTTTTCAATTTTTAAATATAAAAATATTTAATATTTAACATTTTAAAATACTTATTTAATTAATTTAAATAAGTATTTAATTTATTTTTAAAATATTTATTAA